AAGGTCAAAATTTTAGAAGACATTATCTAAAAATGAGGAATTAAAGTGATAATTTGCATTATCTAATAAAAGGATAGGAAACGTTTTGCTTCAGAGCAAAAGATTTGCTTCATGAATCAGAGTTGGGTAACACCATTAGTTTTTGAACACATTGTGTTAGTGAGACTAAAGGTGTTCTATCTTAGCATACTTAAGGGACTAAATATGCTCGAGGTTATATTTGAGGGACCAAAAACTCTACTTATATACACCATTAACAAACAGCCCATCGCTTACACTTTACTTCACCATTTTCCATAGTTCCACTACCAATAATAACATTGTCTGAACCACCCATTTTTCCTTTAAATTTTTCATCTAAAAGAAAAGAGGAAATTCAAGAATTGGAATATGGAGAAATCACTAGAGGAAGTGCACCCTGTTAAGGCTTTTGGTTGGGCAGCTAAAGATACTTCTGGGTTACTTTCCCCCTTTAAATTCTCCAGAAGGTAATTGATTTTATACAAGATATCATTTTTTGTAATAAGGACAAGATTTTGATTTTATCAACTTAATGTTTGTAGGGAAACTGGGGATAAGGATGTGAAATTGAAGATTCTTTATTGTGGTATCTGTCATACTGATCTTCATCAAGTGAAAAATGAATGGGGATTTTCTCAATATCCTATGGTCCCTGGGTATGGTGTCAATTTCAGATTCTTGAAAGTATTATATTTCATGCATATGCAGAACTCTTACTACCTTATGATATTTACAACATATTGCACATTTATAACATTGCTCTTGACATATGGTACCACCAAATATTTTAATTTAGCCAGGAATTGGAAATAACCTCTTAACAAGTCATAGCTGGGAGGTGGGCATGAGTTCCCCTCATTTAAAACAGGAGAATTTGTTGCTGAAACTGTATGAAGTTCAGAGAAAAATAAATTAAACTATGATTCCCTTGAACTAATTTTTGAGTTATAGAAACATGTTAATGGGAGCTTAGTGGATTATTAGTAAGGTCATTTATGCTTGCATCCGAAAAATTTGTCCTTTGTCAAAACATTAGGATTTAACTTATAAGCACCGACGGTATAAAGAAATTTTACACCATCTGCATATTTTAACCTCTTCTAGCTAGTAACATGACTTATCTCTATGTTACTAATCCCACTTTGTATGGACCGCTACTGGTAGTTATCGGTTATGTGACTTGATAGTCTAAAAATTCTTTTAGACAGTAACAACAACAACAACAACAACCCAGTATAATCCCACTTAGTGGGGTCTAGGGAGGGTAGTGTG